GGGGCGACAAAGGGGATGGGACAATGAGGGGGTGAGTGGGGGGGCATAGTGGGTGGGGTAAGGGTGAGGATTTGAGACATTAGGAGGTTCAGGATGCTCACTGAAGTCTGCAAGCAGTACAAGTGCTCAGTGATGAGGTGGGGATCTACAAAGAAGGATCGAAAGAACTGTGGATGCTGTAAATCAGGAACAAAAACAGAAATTGCTGGGAAATCTCAGCAGGTCTGGTAGCATCTGTGAAGAGAAATCAGAGTTAATATTTCACGTCCGGTTCTGAGGAAAGGTCACCAGACCGGAAACGTTAACTCTGATTTTCTCTCCACAAATGCTGCCAGACCTGCTGAGCTTTTCCAGCAACTTCTGTTTCTGATCCACAAAGAAGGGACAGGTTTGAAGGGCTCAATGGCCTTTTGCCATATCCCGTCTGTTACGCTGTAAGCACGTCGCTGTCGGGCAATGTCAGGGGGTGGCACCAGTGGCCAGCCTGTGCTCTCGTACCTTGCCATTCTCCAAGCTTGTGGTGGCAGTGTGCCCATTGCCACCCTCTGTACTTTGCCCACTGCCAGCACTCCGAATGCTGCCCACACTGCCTGTACTGCCCACGCTGTTCCTGTCGCCTGCAGAAGAGGAGGATAACGTGATGAGTGAGGAGAGGTACTGTCCAAGAGACTATAGGTACATGAGATCAAACGCTCTGCAGCCATTCCCCTCCAACATCCCTCCGTCTCCCGTTTCGGCATGACTTCAAACTCTGTCCCTGAGACATGAACCTCTGGTTCTGCACTGAGGGATGAAATACAGAGCTCCTGTCTGCCCCCTTAGGGGGCTACAGAAGATCGTATGACACTATTCCAAGGTTCCTGTGTCCTCATCAGCATCCCTCCACCAATCTGTATCTAAGAGAGATCCTGTTTGCTGTTTGTGGAACCTTGTTTTGTGAAAATTGTCCACCTCATTGCTCTACAGTGCTGCACGCCAGAAAGAAGTCAGTGGATATGAGGCACCTTGGAACATCCCGGACATTTAAAAATGTACTATATTACAGGACATGCCTTCTTTAATCACTACTTTCCTTTCATCTGGTTTTACCACTGTAAAACACCTGGTGGTATTTTTCCATCTTGAAGGTGCTATATAAATGCACATTGCTGTTGCTGTACATTACCGGGCGGTACAGTGGCTCAGTGGTTACCACTGCTGCCTCAGTACCAGGGACCCAGGTTCAATTCCAGCCTCAGATGACTGTCTGTATGGAGTTTGCACATTCTCCCCGTGTCTGCGTGGGTTTCCTCCCACAGTCCAAAGATGTGCAGGTTAGGTGGATTGGCCACGCTAAATTGCCTGTAGTGTTCAGGGACGTGTAGCTTAGGTGGGTTATAGAGGGATGGGTCTGGGTGGGATGCTCCAAGGATTGGTGTGGATATGTTGGGCCGAAGGGCCTGTTTCCACACTGTGGGGATTCTATGATTCTACGATAATGTGGTCACTTCACCAGTAGTAGCTTTGTTTTCAGCTGTCAGCGTGTAATTCCGTCCCCATGCACCTCAGAATCTTCTGTCCCCACTGCTACCATTTTGATCACCTGCCTCTCACTGGCTCAGTCTTCATCCCTAGCGACCACCTCAATCATGTATTTTTCACTTCATCACTCCTCCTACTCTTTAAAAACACTGCGATTGTCCTCAGGTATGGAGCTAGCTACTTGGTGCCTGTAGTTTCTCAGTGTGAAAACAGCAAGAGGGATGGATGTGAAAGAATCAGGAAACCCAGAGCAGGGATCAGTTTTGCTTAAAACAGAAGCAGGGAGTCAGTCTGGCAGACCACACGCTGGGAGGACGAGGGTCGCAGCTGGTTAACGAATCTGACCCAGTGACACTGAACGAATGGGGAATTATTTCCAAGTCAGGATGGTGAGCGGCTCGGAGGGGAGTTTGCAGGGGGTGGTGTTCCTGCTGTCCTTGACCTTCTAAGATGGCAGAAGTTGCAGATTTGGAAGGTGCTGTCAAGGCAGTGTTGGTGAATTGATGCAGTGTTCCTTGTAGATGACACACACTGCTGCTACTGAGGGTCAGTGGTGCAGGAAAGTAGATGTTGAAGAAGGTGGATAGAGTGTTCAATCATGTAGTTGCCCTGGACACGGTAGACTGGGAATGGGGCCTGACATTTCCAGTCTGTACCGTCTTCATGGCAACCAGACCCACAAAGCCACTTTGATGATTTGCTCTTTCGAGAGACTGAGAGACAGCGTGTGGTATAATATCATAAAACTGGAGTAATTGAGAGATGCAAACAGAACAAAGAATGAGATGTGAGAGAAGGTTCAATAGACTTGAAATCACCTAAGGAAGTGGGACTGAGGAATTACAATTAGAGGAAAGAGGAGAATGAAAGCTATCTGACTGCTCTCATCACCAAGGACTGGCATTATTTGAGAGTAGTTGGCATCTTAAATGGACTAGGGTGCATAGTTAGATTGCTGGCCCAAGAGGGAGAAAAGAATGTCTCAGTGTTTGAGTTAATGGGTGTATAATCTGAGGAGTACCACTGCACATGGATGGAACAGGCAAGGGGGCAGATCTGAAGTCAACTTCAGCTGGCATGGGAACTGAGCCTACGCTGTTGGCATTACTCTGGACCACATGCAGGTCATCTAGTTAGTTGAGTGGACCAACCAAGTGGACCAGGGTTCTGGAACTTTCCGTCAGAATTGCACAGTTGGATAGCATGGGTGTCCATTGCATTGCACATGCAGGAGAGCAGGAGGGGGAGCTTGGTGGTGATGCGCCCAGTTGTAGCCATCCTGTCTGGTCACTCCATGTTCCTCCACTCCCTTGGCGGTGGAACCTTCAATCACTTACTGCGTTAGTTGCTGGAATTCCCTCCAGAAACTTCTCTTGTGTATCGACTTCTCTCCGCTAATTAAAACCCATTTCTTTGGCCAAACCTCCAGCTGTATCTCATCATCTCCTTTGACTGAGAGTCAATTTCTTTCAAAGTAAGTTCCTGTGACGTGTCTTGGACAGTTTGCGACTTTAAGGGTGCTGTATTTCATTCAACTAGCGCCGTTAGCATTGTACAACATTCCAAGGTGCTCCATGGGAGTGTAACCAAAGTATATTTGATAGCAGGTCATATAATGAGCTAAAGCCGTGACCAAAACTTTTCACAATGACATACAATCTCACATCTTAAATTAGAAGATCCTTAAATAATTGCAGTCTGTCCATTGGGTGGGTGCGTGATGCGCTGAATAGCATTCCTCATCTGTATTAACCTCATGACTGTGTCTCATTGCTACTCCTTCCAGTGTCCTCACCTCCCCTAGCCTTCCTAATTACCAGGTCCTGAGGTACCTCTAGTTTCATTGACCTCTTGGGAAATAGTGAACGAGTGACAGGTTCATGAGGTATTGAGTTGGTAGGTTACATTTTTGGGTAATATCCTTCTCCAAGGTTCCTCGATGAAAGTAAAGATAAATATCTTCTCAAAAAACTGCGAGCCTCATATTAATCTGCGGAGATAGTCGCTGTTGCTGTTGGGTGCCAGTGTTATAAACTCCAGTACTGGAGTCTGAGCCTCAAGAAATAGCGGAATATTCAGAGAGTTAGGGAAAAAGGCCACTCAAGTGCTTCCCTGTTGAAGAAAAAAAGGTGAACGCACCCAGTTTGAGTTTCAGCAGGGAGTAGCAAAATCTCACACCAGATGCGCAACCTCCAAAAGCAACCCCTGGCATCTTGTGGAATCAGACAGAGAGTGTACCTTCTCCCTCATCTTAAACAGCGACCGTTCACTTCACTGTTTGGGAAGAGAAAGTCACACAGCAACTGCCATTAGCTTGAACACCGATTTACCTGCACACATCTCACTGTTCTCTGTGCTGTGATTGCTGTGGCTGAAACTAGGATGGTTGAAGGTGCGATGGGCGGGCAGCGTCTGCGAGTACATCTGTTGGTACAGCTGGTAAGCATCGTCTGTTTGTGAGGTGGTCAAGGAACTCTGGTGGTTCTTGGAGAACCCCTGGCGTTGATGGGGAGGCACTGAGGCATGGCGAGTGAGGGTGCCTGTGGGGACACAACAAGTGGCCACGTGTGACGTTTCTCCTTTATATTCACAAGTGTTTTCACACGCAACTGAACCGTTTCATTGCCTACACCAAATCCTCCCGGAAAATAGGATTCAAATAGTTAGCGATAGTAGGAACTGCAGATGCTGGAGAATCCGAGACAACAAGGTGCAGAGCTGGATGAACACAGCAGGCCAAGCAG